TTGTCATACGAAGATATTACTTTGCCTTTGTAGAGTTGCAGACTAAGTTGTAATTGTATAAATCCAGATAATACGTAAAAAGCCACTTGACATGTAATTTGATAGGTGACACTTAAGATAGATCGGAAAGTAAAAAAATAAGTATAACCTGATTTACTAATTGTTTTTCCCTTTTGCTAAACAAACAAGCCTATTTTATCATTGGATCAAGCCTTAAATTCACGAAATCGGACGGTTTGGAATATGTGATAATTTCAGACAATCCTGGCAAAAATTATTGTGGACACCGCGTGCATCAAACAAAAATAGAAGTATTTCTACAGAATTAATCCCCAGAAAATTTCTCCCCCCTCCTACCCCCAATTCAATGTTGGTAAATGAAACTTTAAAATTTAAATGCGAGAAACAACATTGAATAGGGGGCAGGGGGCGACAAGTTTCATAAAAGAACGTCTCAATGTTAATATTAGCGTTAGAAAAGTTAGGTGTCCACATAATTTTTGCCAGGATTGTAGCTTCTACCGCCTGCTACGCAGGCTAGTTTTGCTAATGAATTATTACTGAATTAGTTTTTGAATGTGAAAATTGCAAACGTAGACAATGCACTGCATCAGATATTCTATTCGAATAATATAAAGTTCGAGTAATTATTTTTGAAATTAACATATTTAGATCTAAATGAAGGAGGAAATTCTGAGAATGCAGACAAAGAGATAAAGCCTATTGCTTATTCAGATCTAAATGAAGGAGGAATTTCTAAGAATGCAGACAAAGAGATAAAGCCTATTGCTTATTCAGATCTAAATGAAGGAGGACATTCTGAGAATGCAGACAAAGGGATAAAGCCTATTGTAGGTAAAACGTTCAAAGATACCACTGTTTACTGTTATATAATTATGGATTAAAACACTCTAAGGCCCGTTTTAAACGTCGAATTTTGGTCGCGTCGAATGCAATTAAGACAATAGATAATGAGATGATAAACCTCATTAAGCTTCATTAGCTATTGTTTGAATTGCATTCGACACGACCGAAATTCGACGTATAAAATAGGCCTTAGACTGCGTTGTAAGAATTAATAGACGGTTTTAGATAACAAGACGTGGACGTCAAGAGGACGTGGATGTCGTCATTTGGCGCCAACTATCGTCCGCTTCTGGTTTGCGACGTCGTCTTGGACGATTTCACGACGCGACAATACAATTTTCACGTCTTCTCTAGAACGTCACAGATTTTTGCTTCTTTTGAAAAAAATATGAGACTATACATAATAAAAATCATCCTATTTTGTTCCCCATGTATTGTTTAATGATACTAGCTAACGTTTTCCCATTGACAAGGTTTTTTTTTTTGTATTTCGCTAAATTTTAGACGAGTTGATTTTCGATAAATACTTTCGGTCGCCATAAACAAATCAACAAAACTGTGAACATTGTTAATAACCACTTCAATACCGGTAGTAATCTTCACCAAAACAAATATTTTAGAACAAACTAAACTGAAGTTATATTGACAATTGTTTAAAATCAGGAAAACGTGGGAAAATAGAAAAATAAAAGCACTTAAAAGCAGTAAAAACTCGATCAATTTTAGTCGCTCTGTCACAACAGTGCAAAAAGTAGGACATGCAAAAAAACGCTTTCCAGCGTGAAAAACTATCGTAAACAGTATTAAATTTTACCAATATAAACACTGATGCTATATTTATACTGAACAGTTGACAAACTTGATTGAATAGGCTACAATAAAGCATTTAGATCGTAAACAATACCTGTATTTATTCCAAATGATGCAACAAAGTTCACTTTTCAAACTACAGAAATATACGTTTTTTTCTAAAAAAAAACTTATTGAATGTTCATACTAATTCGTCAGGAAACACTTGGCCAGTATTATATAATCTTTTCTTGCACATATCTTGACAACTGATTGAAAACAATACAGGAATGAACAGGTAACAAGAAAACAAAAATTTGCTTCGAAAAAGACAAACAAGCCGTCCCAGATTAAAACCCGGAAGTGAACGCGAGGTGCATACGTCATTTTCACGTCCTCTTGACGTCAGCGTCTTGTTATCTAAAACCGTCTATTATAATACCAAGGTACAGAATAGGAAGGTATAGCAGAAGCGTAACTCAAGCAAGTATTTGTCCACGTTTTTACAAGCGATTCGTCATCAATCACGCCATCCTGGCTAGTACAACCGGCACTTTGTACCTACGAAAACCTGATAAAAACTTCCGGCTGTACTAGCCAGGATGGCGTGGATTGGCGTGAGCGAGTTAAAATTTTCGTGGACGTCAAACAATAAGAAAAACGACTAGAGTTACGCTTCTGGTATAACTTCCTATTCTGTGACCAAGGTGGCCGTCTGCACACTGTTTTTGGTCAAAATATTTCGAAAACCTATAGCAAGGTACCAAAAAGTTGTAAAGGGTCTTCATATATAACTTTAAAAGTTCTTTCCAATAAGACAAAGTTATTGACATATCGCTTTAAAAGACCTAAACACACATTAGTAAAGCATCCCACCATGGCGATGTTGGGTAAAAACAGTCATATAAATACAGAAATAATTCATCCTACTCAGGCGAGCGTCTCAGCAGCCAGGCTCATATGAACAGGTCTTCGAGGCCTCGCCCTTAGCAAGCAAGAGTGTGCATGAGAATTTCGTCAACTTTCATGTCCCGGTCAAACGAGAGCAAGAGTTGTACAGTATATGGGAGTATAGACTTGCTATTCTATGCGTACCAGTCAAACGAGCAGAAAATCTCATCCACTCTCGTCAAAATTTGAACTAGCTCGTCAGAGACACAGAGTACTTAGGTTAACTGAAATTTAAATTTAATGTTGCAGGGGGTGAATGCCAGCGCTGCATAAAATATTTTATTTTCTGGGACCACAAAGCCAACGAATATATTTTCTGCACGCGAACACTGGGAATCTTATGTTTTTATTTCAATTTGATCATCACTAAACAAGATTCAGTGTATTCTACGCACCATTTCATTAGATTTGAAATCAAAATACACGTATTTCAACGTGGCTACGGAATAAATATTCTTTATATTTTAATTTTATAATAACAAGAAACATTAATTTACATTTTAATGAATGATAAAAGTGACCACTGGGAACTGTCTGCAGTTTAAGATTCTAGATTCTTATAATTTTAATATATTTGTTATGAATATCATCTTAATTGATGGATGAAAGTTCTTGAGAAGGGCAGAAGGCTGTTGTGTGTTGGAACATATTGCTTAGATTTTTTACTACATTGTAAGAATCACCACACTCGTAGACTTCTTAATCCACATACTGTAGTTGTTAAATGAGTTGTATTCATATATAACTGGAGTGGTATTTTCAGAAGTAGCTAATACACTAGATGAAATCAATTATAAGAACCGCATAGAGGATTTCGTCTTATATATGTGCTAGACTGCTGTCTGCCTGTCTTTGACCTTAATATCAGGCTGCTGGAGTGGCGCCTGTACCAGTATATTGGAAACTTGTATTACTTGCATGTTGCAAACATCACTAGTTCACTACCTACAACTTAACTACCTATACCTTCAATTATGTCATTTTTTCTCATTTTCTTCCTTTCTGTTTTTCCTTTCTTTCTTTCTCTTTACTTTTTTTCTTTTGAGACTTTTAAGTTCTACCCTCCATTTTTTTTCTGCCAACCTCAAAAATGTTGTGGGACCAATGCCCCCCGGTCCGCTATATTATGCAGCCGTGGTGAATGCCTCTCCTTAGGCCTCATCCTTGTTTGTCGTGTCTTTTCTCCAGGGTAGAGAAATTAACATATCCGATATTTTACATGATTGCCGTAAACTTCTAAATGCTAATGCAAATGGTTGTATTAATTTGAATTATTAACTAATATTACTTTGTACCGCAGAGGTTGACCATGATTGTGATCCAGATCCATGTTTGAATGGTGGAACTTGTGCTGATTTAGGCGGCTTTGTTAAGGAATTCCAATGTATATGTGTTCCAGGCTACACTGGAAAACGCTGCGAGAGTGGTATGTATACATTTACGTAAATATATATACAATATGTATATAGGCTATCATATGAGGGATGAGGTGACATCATCAAGAATTTACGTTTATCTATATTATATATATATATATACAATATGTATATAGGCTATCATATGAGGGGTCAGGTGACGTCATCAAGAATTTACGTTTGATCTATACTATATATATATATATATATATATATATATACAATATGTATATAGGCTATCATATGAGGGGTGAGGTGACATCATCAAGAATTTACGTTTATCTATACTATATATATACAATATGTATGTAGGCTATCATATGAGGGGTGAGGTGACATCATCAAGAATTTACGTTTATCTATACAAGGCTATATATATATATAAGGCTATATATATATATATAAGGCTATATATATATATATATATATATATATATATATATATATATATATATATATATATATATATATATATATATATATATATATATATATATATATGTATATATATATGTATATATATATGTATATATATATATATATATATATATATATATATATATAATTCTTTAATCTTAAAATATATTTGTCGCTACACTGTGTTTCACGCTTCTTTCGAAGCGATCTTCAGGCGAATGAAGTTGATTCAATGACGTGCTCTAAACTAACGGTTTGCTGACGCATCTCGCGTGGGTTCAAATTTGCGCGCGCTAAAACTATTTCTATGACAGCATTTCGCGAATATTTCTGAGCGTTTATTCAATATCCTGCTTTTGTCAGCTTCCAGTAAGCAAACCTTCTCTTCAAGGCACATGTGCCTATAGATACATATATATATGTATATATATATAAAGATATATATATATATATATATATATATATATATATATATATATATATATATATATATATATATATATATATATATATATATATATACAATATGTATATAGGCTATTATATAAGGGGTGAGGTGACATCATCAAGAATTCACGTTTATCTATACAATATATATACAATATGTATATAGGCTATCATATGAGGGGTGAGGTGACATCATCAAGAATTTACGTTTATCTATACTATCTTATATATATATATATATATATATATATATATACCTCGTGCCATACAGGTTACTTTTTGCCAGTTAGGATTACCAATGCATACACAATATTTGCTCCAAAACTTTATTTATTATAGTTATACAAACTTTGATTGGTTATATATAGATTATATATCACACTTAATATTTCTATCTTGATCTGACTTTGATGTTACCTCTTCAAGAGCGTAAACTTAACTCCCTAACATGTGTTCTCAACACAGTCTATATCATGCACTATTATTTATTAACTGTAGTAACCGTCCTTCCTGTCCAACGTTTACTCTGGCTATTACGTCAATGGATTTGGCTCATAAACTAAACTTAATTAAATCAATACATTGATATGACACATTCTAACATATACAATATGTATATAGGCTATCATATGAGGGGTGAGGTGACATTAGTTTTATCGTTTGAGCTACGGTACGACCTCGTTGCCGGGGCAATAGTCAACATGACGTTTTGCGGACCGGCACGTGACACGCTTTTGTCCAATTGGAAAACAGAAAAATTGAACTTTGACACTAACTATATAACAATATATTATGTTATTTAATATAAACGAGTGTTTTATGACTTTCAGTAGGCCTATATAGTTCATAATTTCCAGTCTTTGATCCGTCCAGACCGTGTAGCTCAATTGGTAGAGCATCGATCTAGTATTTTGAATGTCCCGGGTTCGAAACCCAGCCGCGGCGGGAAGAGTTTTCAGCTTGCGCGCGGTCTGGAATATATATATATATATATATATATATATATATATATATATATATATATATATATATATATATATATATATATATATATATATATATATATATATATATATATATATAT